CCCACGGTATTTATAACTTGTAAAACCTTATAAAAAACTTGTAAAACCTTATAACATGTAAAACTTTATAAAATAGCTTGTAAAATCTTATAATATCTTATAAAGACCTTATAAATACGTTGTAAAACCTTTTAAAATACATTGTAAAACCTTATAAATACCTTGTAAAAAACCTTTAAAATACCTTGTAAATTTTTCCCGCCAAAAATTTAACGCCAAAAAAATTGCGGAATCACTTTTCCCGCAAAAAAAAATTTTTGGCGGGAAAAAAATTTACAGAAAAATTTTACAAGGTATTTTAAAGGTTTTACAAGTGTTTTGGCGGGAAAAATTGCGGTATCACTTTTCCCGCCAAAAAATATTTTGTATTTTGTAGACCTAATTTTGTTATATTTCCTTATATATTTGTGATATCTTTTATTAAAAGAAGGGTAATTTAGTCATTTTGTACATAAAAAGGGGTATTTTAAAAAATGGACAGCCAAATAGGGCATTTTTGAAAAAAGGTATTGAAAAAGGGGCATTTTTGTGAGTCTCCCAAGAATATTTAGTATTTGGTAACATAATATTCGATAGTAAGTGTTTGAGTCATAGTTAAACTGAGGGTCACTTTCTATTGTATATAACTTGAGAGTTATTTTATACTGTCGAAACAAATTTTAGTTTGACTAATAATTGTATCAACCCAAAAAAATAAATCTCTTAAAATTTCCATAATTTAGATGACAAATTGAAATGCAACCTCTTTTTATGAAACACATAAACCCATCCAAGATACAATTATTAGACAAAACACTAGTTAAATAGATTTACTAAGAAATTGAATTGTATCTTGACACTAATATTTTTGAACTTTAAAATCACTATTAATAACAAGAAATCTAGTTAAAATTAATTGCCCATAATATTTAGCTAAAACACAAATACAATTGTCCAACATCTACAACAATTTTTCAATGCATTGTTGGGGTTTGGGACAAGAGACCATTGACACTACGATGACATTATAAACAGAAAGTAAATTAGATATGCTCAAAGTGCATTGGGTCCGTTTATGTCAATCAAATGAATGCCGCAAGGGAATCCACAAGGCTGAGAAGAAAACCGTCTGAGCCATACTTAGCTACCAATGATACCGATACCGGAAGATTTTCGTGTAGCCCCAATGGTATGCTCACCTATCAGAGAAATAAACCGGAAGATCAGACCGGTTCTTAACCAACTCCACAACCACAAGAAGGCAGATTGATGTTGTTATTACCTGACAGAATCCAGAAACTCCGGCTATCGACAACAAGCTGAAGGCTCTGCTGCGGAAAGATTCAAGTGCAGCCACATTAGCTTGGAGATGCGGTGGAGGACCTGGTACCGTTGGAATCACCAACACACCCTTCTCCTACAAAATTTGGTATGATTCACACATTAAACCGGTCTGCTAGTAAGTGTTTTCAACTAGGGGTGGTGCAATTTGCTTGAACCATAATCGAGCAATCAGATATGCCAATAAACCGATTAAATCCTTCAAATATTACCAACAAAAACCGAATTCGAACCAAAGCATAACCGTATTAAACGAATTCAAATATTTCCACTCGGTTTCTATATTCCACAAAATTCCTAGATAAACCAAACCGAAAACCGGATTGGACCCTTCCTACTTTCAATCACTGACATACCTAAATGTGTTATACAAGTTTCAAATTTGGGAGAAAAAGGAATAAGTTTATACCCCGAGCAAGGTTGAAAGAGCCGTTATTAGTTCAGATTTCACGGACCGGCAAAGGTCGATCTTCTCTTCAGACGTCCTGATAGCTTCCTCGATTCGTGCTGATATTCCAGGACCAAACTCTGGCTTCACCAACGAGATCCATGCACCGTGGTTTATCTTGAATTCATGCCTAAACTTTGGTTATGCCTATGTACTATATTAGAAATCTATAGAACACGTAAATGGGAAAGATGTTTTACCTCTGTAACAATCTCATTGAACTCGATAGAGCCATGAGAGACGGAATGCATAACTCTTGTTGTGTCGTGACATCGTCACTTGTCATGAAATGTTTAAGGCTTGGAACATTCTGTTCAATATACTCTCCAAGATTCACCTCCTTTACTACAGTGTTGCCTTGATACAGAACAATGTCATTAAGGAAAACAAAATCGTCAAGAAATAAACTCTGACTTCCCTTTTAACAAAAGGGCTATAAGTTCTTATGATAATTTTTACCTCCAAACGATTTTTCCACGGATCCAACTAGAGGCTGCACCAACAGATCATGTGGTACACTACATAGCTTGAAGCAGTCATCTGCGATAATCAATTGAGATGGTTCGATGGGGTTCAAGTGATCCTGCTGTAGGAGAACGCAGCCTACACGTTTCAAAGTGGCTGTGTCCCGCGCAAACCATCCTAAAGACAATGTTGGAACCATCAATATCAAGAATCAGTTTAACCATTAACATATCGGTTTTTAGTTGTTGTTACCAACTGTGTCGAAGCTCTGAGCCATTGGAGTAACTCCGACAGTGGAAACTGCACCGTGCGATGGCCGGAAACCAAAAATTCCACAGTAAGATGCTGGAACTCGTACACTCCCTCCGGTATCAGTTCCTGATTGATCAAAAAACCAATAAGACAGGGAAAAAAAGTACTTCAGTATGGTTATAACTTTTGGCAATTTTTGTTCAGAGCTCACCAATAGAAAAGTCCACAAGACGAGCAGCTACAACTACGGCTGAGCCACTCGATGATCCGCCAGGCACTCTATCGAAAGCAATCGGGTTTCTCGGAGTCCCATAATGCGCATTTTCTCCGTTTATACTGCAAATTAAGTAAGAACATGCTAACAAAAACCGTAATAAACCTAGTCATAGTTTAGTTCTAGCCTCTGTTAAGACATATCCTGGTTTTTGAATCATGAACTCCTAAACCAGAAAAGATGTGGAATTGAACCTGTAAGCCATTTCATCCATAATGGTAATACCCAAAGCTGTAGCACCAGCTTCTAAGAGAGATGAAACTACGGGAGCTGTAGAAGTAGCTGCCGTATGTGTCCTTAACCAATCCGGGTTACCAAAACCGGTAACGCGTCCTTCCACATCAAAACTGAGTAAACCAAACAAGAAGCTCAAAAATTTGATTGACAAGAAAGTATAGAGGAAATATTGTAAGTAGTTGGATATCGTACATGTCTTTAATGGCGAAAGTAAGACCCTGTAGAGAAGGAGGCAACGAGGAAGTAGAAGTTGGAGAGATTGTAACTTTCTCAATGAAAGCTCCAAAATCATTATTGGTCGCCATTGATGCAGCTCCCGTTCTGAGAAGGTAGATGATGACCAAGTAACGCTTGTTGTAGATAAAGGCTATCACATTATCAACGAGGATACAGTGGCCAAGTCATTTTCTGTTTTGTCTTTTCCTTAATATTATTGTCCTTTTGTTTTAATTTTTAAATATTCAATGAGATACTTTTTGGGGTTAATAAGTGTAATAAAGATAGACAAATTAACATTCAAATAAAAAAAACTTTGTCAAAGCACACTTGTTTCTTACAGTTTATACATTCTTCTGTCTGGTTTCCCTAAGTTTCTCCTTTAAGAAAGGATCGATAGACATAAACACTTAGATTCTTCTACAACACCCAATTTGAAAATTCTGATATGCTCTTTTCATTTTCTTGTCT